GTTTGACAGACCTCTGGTGCTTTTATGGATACAGCAGTCATGCCTGAGATTTTCAAAATCTCCACTGAAGCTGCAGTTCTGTCACTCTAAGCTGACCTAGGTTGCCGTTACCTCTTGACTACCTGCCCCTCTGCCCCACAGCACTGCTGGTTGGATTCTCCGGCTCTCTGTCACATTGGCAAAACCATACCTAATCCTGCAGTGAGTTGGTTTGGAAAGCTAAATTGGAAGAAAAACGGTTCTTTTTTTTTTTTTTTTTTTTTTTTTTTTTTCCCCCCATGAAGTGATTTGCTAGTTTCTCTCCCTTAACTGTCTCACTGTATGATTAGACAAATATCAGTGAAGAGAAGAATGGAGAGTGCATCTAAGGTGGAGGGCAACCCCACCTTAGGTCATATTTAGCTGTGGAATTGCATCTTTAAGCACACAGTACCACTCCCAATCAAGCATATGTGTGGATGTGGATGTTTCAAAAGACCTACACATTCACTTTACTGCAGTTGCATATGTTTGTTTTGATACAGAATTCTTGGAACACTGGGTCCACTTGCTTCATGAGTTAATCACACAGAACCACTATACTCTTTGGCATTTAAACCTTCATTAAAGATCAAAAAATGCTTCTATTCATCATGGTTGTTCAGGAAATCTTCCTAGCAGGACCCAACTGTGCAGTGTTTCCCTTCTCGAGTCTGAAAATAGCCTGAAACAATACTGACAAGAGAGGTAAACGCTGCCCAAATTGCTTATTTCCATTCAGGCTTTGACTCAAAACCTTATTGACACCATTATAAATGTCAACATTTGATACATAATACATGAATACATTTTAGCAGATGGAGAGGAATGGAAATGAAGCCAAGATGCAGTTGAGGCTGCATTTGGAAATTCTGGAAGGAGGAGGATGAAGAAAGGAGAGATGCCAAGAAGGAAGTAGAGCAGAAACAGAGAAAGGAAGATGGGAAGGAAGAGGAGAGAAATCACTCCTACTGAGTTCTGCTGAATCAAGCACTAACAGAGAGAAAAAATAACAAACTGTCCATTACCTTCTGCAGCAAAAGATGAGGCTTTGTCTTCGCTCATTCTATGAAGACCCCTTTGAGATGAGCAGGAGTTGTGCTGTGGACAGAAGGCAATATGCTCGCCTATATTCGTATCATAGCCCATCCTCCATAGCCAGGCATGGAGTTTGTTCTCCTCCATGGGAAGCACAAGATGCCCCCTCCATCAGAGCCAGCTTAACTAAAACAGTCCATTAAACACCTATTTTAGCTTAACAAGAGTAACCTGCTGCCTAAAACCAATAGCTATATCAATGTTAAAAATTGCACGAAACTTCTGACAGGGTTTTGTCATAACTAAAAAATATGATCATTCTAGATTAAACAGATATGGGATGCAACCATTAATCATTCAGGCTGTTAAGAAATTTATACTTTTTTAAAAAGCTCATTGCTATGCAGCATAAAGACAGGCAATAAGGATGAACTGTCTGCAAAACAGTCCTTCCAATCTGCCCATGATATCTGTATTTTTGGGGTCTAATAAAAAGATGCCAGAGGACAAGATGAGAAAAAATGTGCAAGCAAAAGCTTAACTTAAGATTTTGCACTCTGGGGACCAGGTTACCAAGAACTACTATTGTTACCCACATATGAAACAGGCACAGAACATGATTTTCAGAAATCCCTTCACATTTTCTAAAGAGGAGCTTCTACAAATCTTCTCCTTCCTTCCTCTTCCTATGTTGTTTATGTGCTGAATATTCACACTTCTTTTCTTAGAAACACGGTTGATTTGTCCCAGAGTCTCCGCATTTAAAAGATAAGTGTATTAACTCATGATACTCACTATTCTCATGCTTTTCTTTCTGAAAATATAAAAGAACAACCATAACTCAATACTCAAAACAAATTTCCCTAGGAAAGCAAGGGATCTTTTCTATTTCAGATCCTTGGTAGCTCCCTTTTCATAGCGTGGACCTGTTTGTCTGCTTTCGGTCTCAGAATTGCTTATCTAGCCTTCAGCAAGTGCTATGCACAAGCATAAGTCTGACAAACTTGATTTATGTTAAGAAATAATTTTTCTGTTGTCATAGAAACCACTGCACGATGATCCAGGCATGAGTAAAAAGTAACAATGATAAGCGGGCTGCTGGCTTTGCCAGTGAAATTCCCCTCGTTGTTGATGTCCCACCAGTTATTTCCTTGCCCTCTAGGGCAAAAAGGGTAAAAAGGTGGTATCTGGAAGGATGGCTGAGAGGAAAAATTTGTCTAGAGGGTGGCTTCAGTGTCATAAGGCAGGCACATTTTCCAGTCCAGCTAGCACAGCTTTGTCCTGCAAGGCTGTAGCATTGGGAGCAAAATAAATGTTTCATTCAAATAAGGATCAAAACTGGACTAGAAACCCCCTGAGACTGTTATAGGGACCTCCATGCCACAGTGGAGAGAGATGGAATAATTTGCTTCTCTTATGCTTCCATCGGCAGGAATTTTGCTTTTCTTCTTGCTTCCATCAACAGGAATGCATCATATCCACATTTTAACGTTTGCACAGCTCTTGCCACTGCACTATGCATAACCAATTACTGCTTCAGTAAGAGGAAACATCCACCTGGACAGTAGTAAATAAATATAAGGGAGTAAAAGAATCAATGAACACTGATGATCACGGCAAGTTCACGTAGAAGTATCTTCACCCACTCAGCACTGCCTGCCCATGAGCTCCATGCCATAACATAGGCAATTACACCCTGCCCGATAGAAATGATCCTTCATTGCCATTTTTATGCAATGACAGCACCGGAATGTATACTGTGTACTACAACACTTACACTCTACTCAACATTCACCATCAGTCACTGACATTTTAGGGATGTTTATCCCCGAGATTTACAAGGGCAATGAACATTGCTAGTACTTGCCACTACAGTTGTCAGACTGATTTGACGTTCTTTCCCCAGGGAAATCTGTTTCTGCATCTGCTACTGTTGGTTCAGCTTACAACAGGCTTTCAGCTAAAGGGTTGTTGCTGTGGATCTGTGGCCTTGCAAAAAGGCAAAAGGACAAAAGTGTCGCTGTGAAAAAGTCAGAAAACCTGTATTGTTTTGTGCAGGCTTGGAGTTCCTCTAAGCAATGAGTGGAAAAGCCAGAGGATTCCGGTCTGGAGCGCTCCTCTGTTGCAATTAGTACTGGGAACAGTCCAAAAAGATGAGGACATGGATAGATTACAGTTTCTTTTTGCCTCTAATGCTGATTAGTTGCCATATGTCAATAATTAGAAGAGAGTTTAGTGAACAAATATTGCCTCTTTTTCTGCTGGTGCACTGTCCAGACAGTTTTATTTCCCCCTATTATTTATCATTAGAAAATATTTGCCAGACAATCTCTTGAAGTCCTTTCTGATCTGAAGCTTACTGATATTAATTCTGCAAGTGCAAGAAACAGAGGCAGGTCTGGCATTGCTTCTGATTCCTGATAAGGTGAAAGCAGCTTTTAGCACTGGGTGTGCCAAGGATTGTGGAAAGTGAATTCTAAATGGATATTTTCCAATATTATCTGTAAAACGCATCCTTGTAGCCTTTACATGCAGCTTTCTCCTTGTCAATAAAGAAAAAGCCACAGAACACAAGGGGCAGGAAGACAGCTGAAGTAAACTTGCCCAATGATTTAGGTGGATATTAGTGGACATTTTTGACAGTACTCACTGGAGTCTAGTTTCAAGAATCTGAATAGAAAGCCTGGTTATTTGCTTCTGTTCTCCAGATACACAAAGGTGCATGGGGGATGGAAAAATTAAAACAGAACTTAATTATTGTCATGATTATTGCTGCTAGATCATAAGAAAGTGCCTATCTGCCACTTCTTCCCTATGTGCACATGTACACGTCTCTTTTTATGTTCACTGCCTGTCCACAGCTTGTCTTATACATGCATCTCGTTATGTCTCATTATCACATTTCATTCCCATGCTCTTTATAGTGCAAAACAAGGTGTGTATTTGGTTATGAAAATGCTGGAGGGGGTGAGGGCGTTTTTGCATGGGAGATGCTGTATTGCCATGTCAATCATCGTTCATTCTCTTTCTTAGTCTTTGCAGATTAATGCTGGATGAGCCTCAACTGGGATGCTTCTGGCACTGGGGAAGCTGAGATTTAGATCACAGATTCTCAGCCCAGGTCCACTGGCACATGATTCACACACTGTTATCAAACTTGCACTGAGGGGCATGAAGCTTTCCTCCCACCATGCTGAAAATCTGTTTTAGAGCTAAGCATAACTCATGGGTTGCTGGGGGAAGATTGTCTTTCCCGGTTGAACTCTTTCATTCTGGGTCTACATTATATATTCTATATATTCTGGGCCTCTTTTTTTTTTTTTTTTTTTTTTTCTTTTTTCCAGAAGAAAGGCTGCTGTCTCTCAACCAGCCCAGCTACCGAGAAAGGAGTGGGAGAGGGAGACCACAAGCTTCTTCTCCAGCACTGTAATACCCACTAATGCTGGCTGGGCATGCTGTTTCTACATGTCATCCAGACTCCTCCTGCAGTTTGTCCCCCCTGAGTGTGAGTACTGAAGAGCTTTCTGCAGTTGTAGCCTGCTGTCGAGATGCTTCTTGCTTTCTCTTTTGAGGTGAGCTCTTTTGAGTTTTGACCTATGTTCAGCAGGAGATACCACTAAACATTGGGACCTGAAGGCTGCCAGGGTCTCTTGGAGGAAGCTTTCCTTTCTTGGAGGCAGCAGGGTGTGCAGAGGGACTATAGTGGGAAAGACCTAGGCACCTTCAGCATGAGAGAGAAGTAAGAATGGGTGGAAGCAGAAGAACTGCAAAAGCAGCCACGGCAGCATGTCTGCTCAGCAACAGTAAACCAAAACCCATTCAGCTGGAATAGCAATGGCTGCAGAGCAATGGTGGTTGCTGTGACCCGAGGTGTAGGCATCGTGTGTTCAACTGCGTAATCTACACTCTCAAAAAGGCAGGGATCCCTGAAAACAACCACTTACGTCACCTACACCCTCAGACAGCACTGCCTTGACTGCTGTGTCCTGGGGCAATTGCAGATCCAGCACATTCATCAGCTGTTGGTAGAGGCTCCCTTACAGAGAGGTGGAACAGGAGAATGGTTGTAGCATTAGGAGAAGAGTCGCAGCAGCAGGCAGGTCTGTGGGAGAGAAGGGGTGTTACATGTGCTGGGATATGAATATAAACCAATATAAACCATGCTGATGCCAAATCACATGGTTCCCCTTGTTTGTTTCCATTTTTTACAAATAACCAATGACTTAAAGACAGAAAAAAGATAATCGCATGCCCTCCTTTATATTCTAGAGCGTTACCCTTCTCCCTGCTGTTTGGCATCTCGCCCATTTCCAGCAGGCACTTTCAGATGCAGATTTTTCTCTCAATAGGTATGGTGGGGGTCTTTGTCCTCATCTTCCCCTACCTTCATTAGCTGCTCAGCTGTTGGGGGCCTTGCTCAGATATCAGGGGGAACAGGGGCGGGTAAGAGGCAGAGCAGAAAAGGCCCCCTGAATACTGATTCATTACCATACAAAAGGAGGAACACCCTAGCTATGCAGAGGGCGGTATCTTTATAAAGCATGCATAAATACCACACAAAACAATGATTACACAGCGCTTATGCACCAGTTAAAATTCATCCTGGATAGGCTGGATAACACATATCCATATATGCTAAAACGGATTGGCCCAGGATCTGTAAATGGTTTATAGATGTCTCCTGGATAGGGGCATTGCCTGGGGTGTGGTGATGTATCTGTGCAGTAACGTATCAGCAAGCCAGCAAGCCGTGACAAGAAGACAGATGAGGACAGGCAACTCGAGATGATTCCCCATTTGTCTGTGTACGTGTGTCTCAAAGGCCAGCGGTCCCTGAGGATTCACTCCAGGTCCTTGCTGGGAGCTATGCCCAAATCCCTGATGTGTCCATGAATACAGACCGGCTCATCTGAGCATTTGCACCAGGTTGGGTTATAACCCCAAATCTTTGTGCTGTCGACAGTCACACTAGCAACCTGGGGAGGGACATTTTGCAGGAAAACCATTTCAGATGAGGCCCTTCTGGTTACGGCCTGTGCTTCATTGGAAATTAATGACAGAGCAGCTCGGATTAGTACAATGCTGGGCGTTGTGGGATATACCCACAGCAGCTCCGACACCAAACACAAATGACAACCAAAGCGCTTATACGGTTCTTCCACCTCCACTGACCCATCCTCCTCTCTCACAGGGAGGGGGATTAGGATGGAGAAGGGTGCTGGCACTTGAACGTGGCCCTGCAGCTCAGCTGCATGTGCTCTGGCTGGGTCTGCTGCTCGCCTGAGTCAAACCTACAGTGGAGACAGATCCTGAGGGGCTAAACCTGAACGATTTGGCCTGGGAAGACTTGGTTCAACAATTCCAATTTCTTTCTTGCCACCACGGAAATATTTTCTGGAAGCATTACATAACGTCTATCTACAAAAACAGCCACACAACAGGCTGGATTTGCAACTATATAATTACACCTTCCGAAACAATATATTGTAGCCCTCTAAAGACCTCAACAGATAGGTAACAAATAAGTTGATGACAAGTACCCTGGAGGACTTCAAAAGCACTACCTGCTGTGGAGAAGAGGAACTAATTACCCTTTCTAGAACCTCTTTCATTCATAAAAAATAAAATTTAAAGAAGAATCTCCACATTTGTTTGAAAATTGACACAAGGCAATACTGTCTATAGAAATCTGCTTTCTGTCCTTTCAGGTTCTCATTTTTCAGACATATCCATTTGCTGGTATGTAAACCACATGTAAGCCTCCCAATAACAACTGTGCTTTCAGACCTTTATTAACCAGTAGAACTGGAAAACTGGCATATCCCAGACCTGGAAGAGGAGGACAGGGAAGAGATCTTATGAGCTCCTTGAGAACTAAAATGTGGAATATAATTCAGGATTTCTTGCAAAAGTGGACCAACTGACCTGCCCACTGGACATGTGCTAGGCTGTAGCCTCATTAAGAGATTCCAGATTAATCATACGCCTCTTAGGCAGCTTAGTGAGCTTCTTCTGCAAAAACTATTGATGTGGTTCCAGTTATGTTGGACACTAGTAAATATAATGGCAGGATTTTTAGCATATGTGTTATAGAAGGAGTTGAAAAGGTATGTCAGGCTAGTTTAACCACAATTTCAGCATCAGTCTGGCTAAATCTGTTTCTAGATCAATTTAAATCTGCCACCTCCATGACCAAACCATGCACAGAAAGGCCTTAAGAACTGAAATGATAAAACCCCAAGGAACAGCAGTTTATAATGAAAACAACAGGGCTGATAATTAAACTTCTACCAATGGTCTGAGTCGGCAATCAGCTCAGTTAGCAAACAGTAATAGAGAAAGACAGTCCAAATTCTTTACTGTCTGTCTGTGGGACTGATCAGCTTTGACAATGTTTCACCCTGAAAATATGGTGAAAATGGAAATGGGGTGAAAGGCTCTATTCAGGCAACAGGCAAAGCTGTTTCCATCTGGCATACTCCTTTCTCATGAGTTTCCCCCTACTGATTATTAAGGAGCTGTTTCATATAAAGCCCCCATCCCATTCGCCTCTGGATTCTCAGCTTATTCCTTTCTCATTACTTCAGTTTTGATGCCTGCAAGGCATTCTAATAAGAATTAATCTCCTACCTGAGAAAGCCCTAAGATGCACTGCACAGTGATCTTAGCAAAAAGCAATAGGTGCTGTAACATCTGATTCCTGGGATTTTGTGATTAATTGTGCTAGCAACATTAACAGTAAATGCATTTATCTTATGTCATCTGATGATTGACAAAATACTCATCTATTACATTCCAGTGTAGGTCATATCTGTAAATCTCCAGGTGAATTCAGAAGAGGCTGCTCTAGCCACAACAACCTACATGATAAAGTATTCCTGTGATCCATTTTGAAAGATATATCCTGCTCCCTGTGAATTTACAGGGAATTTCTGCAGAAATGTTTATCGCATGTTCTGTGCTTCATGGCTCTGCTTAGCAGGCCAGCATTAGTGGCAATTTTTTTTGTGACTGGCATTTGCATAAGTTGGATACCATGACTTCTGTAACAGTTCTGTGTTTCCAAAGCTCTTCTTATCATAGGGATCGAGTATAAAATTACTGACCTTCTGTGCTTATTAAGGTCCTTTCACTTATTTTGTTTGAGCTTCCTGCAATTTGTAATGTGTTTTATCCTGACAAAATGATAAAGAGGTAGAGAGTAGAAAGGGAGGAACTGAATCAAAAAGAGACAAAGTGACTTATAAGTTGCCCAAAGCTAGAGGACAAGTTTCCTTCTGACCGACACTACTGCTCTCCAAGCATTGCACCTGCTTTCCACTTTCTTCCACTGGGAAGGAATTCTTCATGTAAATAATTTTTCATTTAATGATGGGGTTTTAATAGTTTTTAGCATCCTTATTCAGTTTTGCTTTTTCTCTTCTCTTTGCAAAATGCCCTTCATAAAAATGGAAGTGCATTAAGATTTCTCCTTCGGTCTCCATTACAAATAGGGACCTGAATCAAAGACCTGGTTTGAGTGCTACTAGAAGAGGCACACCAGATCAGGTGAGTTACAGCTGATGAAAACTGCATTGTAATTTTGTCAGACAGAGCAAACCATCAGATTGCCAAATGCGATTTTAAATGAAGTCTGAAAGGATTCTGGATAGAACCATTTTCAGATAAAGGCAAGGAGAATTACTCAAAATATAAGGAGTGAGTTGGAAAAACCAGGCTCTTCAGTTTCTTCAGTTCCAGGGGTTTTATATATTTGTGAATTTTATAAAGCATTATTTCCTTCCACTGTCATTGTCTAAAACACTGTCATTGTACATTTAATTTTTTTCTTTGTCACTGAGGACAACCCGCTTCAATCAGAAGCTGTTCATAACCAAATTCTGAAGTATCAGGATATTAACTTGGACGTGGCAATGGACTAAAGCAGGGCTGCTCCACTCCTCCTAGCCTCGCAGGAGAGGGGATTGAAGGGCCACGCAGCAGCTCCTGAACTGACACTGTTCTGGACCGAGATATTTTTTTGCTTTACTGTAACACATGAAGCTGTCTGCATCCCTCTGTCAGCTCCAGGCAGGGATGCCAGCCTCTAAGACAAGGGCAGGATGATAAGGCAAAGTTGGTAGTTGTGCCAGCCATGCCAGCTTCATCTGCTGCTGCATGGCTCTGCACACTGCCAAAACGCTGACACTCCTGCCTCACGGGCAGCAGTTGTTGGTAAAACCAGCTTTACAGAAGTTACTCCTTCACCCCAACTTGGGGATATGTCAAAGTCCTGAGTCACTGAGTCGCTAAAAGGCCCCACAGAGGCTCTTTGATTTGGGTTGTGGTCCCGCAATGCGCGCTGCCAGGTAGCCCTGACTCACCCTGTCTGTACGGACAGGAGTGTTCCCTTCACTGAAGCGTGCTCCTAAACACAAGGCAAAGGATCAGGTGGGGAATTTAACATGAAGCGCAGAACACTAAATGATTATCATCCAATCTAACTCACTGCTCCCCAGAATTTATTTGAAATTTAATTTAAATAGATCGTGTTCTGCACAAAGGAAGTCGGTGGTCTTAGTCGGGATTATATCCGTTATTGCCTAGTACCGCGCTGAAAAACCACTGATTTTAATATACTCTGCAATGTTCCTAAAGACTTAGGAACTAATGTCAGCTGAATATATTCATACTGGATGTTCAATCACTTCATCAAATATGCTCTGCAAACTAGTCACCTTTAAAATGTTGGCGGCACCTTCCTGAATAATTTGCTACCACCAGATTGCATGTCCTTTGGGTCCTCCTGAAAGCTGAGAAGGAGAGGCTGGATGGGAACACGATATCAGGACACCAATGTCTCAGTGATTTAATTCAATGTTATTATTATACATTTGGATTTTTTTTCCCCCATGTTTTTAAATTTCCTAAATTCCTGCATCCTTTTCTTGGCATTTCTTTCAGTCTTTAATTTTCTTTCCCTTTGCCTTTCTTCCTTCCTTTGTCCCCTAACTTTCCTTTTCATCTTTCCTTTCCCCTTTCTTTTCCTTCTCCTTCTCCCATTCCTTTCCCTTGTTTTTCTATTCTACTCCAGCCTATTCTACATTTTGATTTTACTATTCT